GGTAAACGTTTTAAGATCTTGTAGTTGTGATTTGGATAAACACTTAATGTTTTAAACTGAAAAATTTGGGTTGAAGTTAGGGGCGTTACACTTAACTTATATCCAAACCCTATTATCTTCATCCTTCATCCCATTAAACCCTAAAATCGAAACCCTAGCTCTTATTTGAAAGAATCTTGAGAATTTAAGTGATTTTAGTGGATTCTTGGTGCTTTTGGAAGAATAAGAACACTTTCGAGAAGTTATGATTACCTTGGAGCTTGTGGATCCAGAATTTGTGCATATTGATCTAACTGCTGGAGGTATAAAGTCTCTAACTTAATGGCTTCTCTTGTAGATCTAGTTCAGGTGGTAATTTGTCATGTTTTGGTCCTATAATTATGGTTCTTGTGAGTAGAAGTTACTCCAGAACCTTTGAGCCGCATATTTGGTCTTTGTTGAGGTCATTAATTCATAATAATGACATATTGAGGGATTTTGATGGATCATGCAAGAGTTGGTGTTCATATTATGGATATAGATGGATAAAAACAAGCATTGGGTCCCATTAAGTCATGTAAAGGAGTAAAGTTTCCAAATTTAAATGTTAAGACATCATTTAGGATCATATCTAAGAAGTCGGCTTAATGGCTTTACCTTTTAAGCACTGAATGGCAAGATTAGGTTGTACGTTGGGCGTACTCGGTCATTTGACTTCCTTTGACTTTTGTTGACCTATTGACTTTAGGTTAACTGTGGTTTGGGTTGGGACTTATTTGGTGAAAAATCGTCTTTTGCCCATTTTTGGAATATTTGACTCCTTCGTAGGGTATTATCTTAATTATTAATTAGGTTATTATTTATTATTAGTTAGTGCGAGATTACCAGGTTCAGTGACCCGAACAATTATTTGGTTATCAGCGGATTGAGGTGAGTCTCCTCACTGTACCTATGGGTCGAAGGCACCAATGTCGGCCCACTAGGATCTATTATGCTAGTTGTCTTTGTGACTCTTTCATGGTATGTTGGGCTAGGCCTATTGTATGACGGGCTAGACCCATTTGTATGATGGGTTGGGTCCATGGATCTGGAAGGGCTAGGCTTAATGTATGTTATGCAGGGTGCTAGCTGTCTTTGTGACACTTGCATGGTATGTAGGGATGGGTTCATTGTATGAGGGCTAGGCCCATTATGGTGGGTTGGGCCCAATACATGGGCTAGGCCTAATGATATGTATGTTATGTGGTATTTGGGGAACTCACTAAGCTTTGTGCTTACAGTCTTTATGGTTATGGTTTCAGGGACTTCCGGTATGAAAGGTAAGGCCCGACTTGATCGCAGCGCATCCACCCATGTTTCCACAACTTGATGATTATGAGATTGTACTTTGATAACTGTTTTACTATGATATACTTTTGAATGTTTGGAAAACGATAATTGGTGTTTCTCGTTAAACTAAAAATGAAATTTTTACCTTGTAATTTTTGGGGCGTTACATGAACTTTATGCTTGTTGATTGCTAGATTTAAGATCTTAAGTATATTTGGTCCTTTGTTTCATAATTTCTATGGAGTTTGGATAACTCTAGGTCTAAATGTTGAATCTTGAAGTATTACAAACCCTTTGTAGTGTTGAATTAGGTGTCTAAGTCAATAACTAAATGGGTCTAGTCTTGAATTATTAGCAAAATCCTTTTGGGTTGCCCTCAAACCTCGTAATTGAATATGATGACATTTATAGAGAGAGACTAATTTATTGGTTTATTATATGATTAATAAATAGCAGTAAATGAATTTTTTTAATATATTATGGAAATAATATATTAATTAGAAATAGTAATATTTAAATAAGAATTAATCAGAAATTAATTAGAATTAATTTTGAAATTAATTGGATTAATTAAAGGTACAAGAGTTAAAGTGTAATTATTCAATAGTTGAAGAAGAGAGAGAGTCTAAAACCTTCCTTGAAAGGAGTGGGCAAATTCTAGGATATTCTAGGGGATCTAAGATATTCTTTATAGATAAAATAAGAAGCTGTATAATTACCAATTTGAATAAATATTACTTTATTCATTTTAAGGTTATCTAGGGTTTCCAAGTTGCAATACATAAGGAACCCTTAGGCACCAATTTTCGTCCACTTCACTCTTGAGAGCCAAGGTCGAAAATTCTATCATCCTTTTCATCTCTCTTCAACTCTCTTAGTTACTAGGGATGGGTGTAAACCATCAAAGACATGACACTTGTGGTGCTCGATTCCAAAAGCTTTGAAGAAGGTTTTGGATTTGTTTACTATAACAAATCAGAGGTATGTAAACTTCCTCATGAATTATGATTTCATTAGGGTCTAGTAGTTTGATAGTTCATAGTATGTTGCCTTTGCGTGAAAGACATAGATCTTCTTTATGTTGCATGTACCCCAATCATTTAATTGTTAAATGTCTTTCCACTTAGAACATTATTTTGTAATCTACATTTTCCATCATGTAGCACTGAGAAATGATTATAGTCTTTCATTTTGTGCCATGTACGGCTTTGGGTGCATTTTGAGCTTACCTTAGATATAGGGTTATAGTTAGGTTGGTTTGATGCATGAAATTGATAAAGTTGGAAACTTTATCTATTAAGCCCTTTATCGATGTATTCTAGAAGTTTGGAGCCTTGGACTTAATGTATCAAGAACTTAGGAAAAATGGGATGATTATTGAGAGTCGTGACGCAACTGTGAGGGTGTCGTGGTGCGAGTCATAATGGCCAACCGCAACTGTTTTGTCACTTAGTGATCACGATGCAACCAGGGTAGTGGTCGATGCAGGGATGTTGGTTATTGACTTTGACCAGATAACCATTGATTTTTTTGACTAGATTGGCTTTTAGTCAAACTTGATATGTTTGCACTATAGATTGAAGTTTGACCTATATTTGGTTTAGGTGGTTTGTGTAGCTGCTACTACGTAACTTTGCGTAGTTGGGATTTCAACTCTTTCATTCATGTGAGTCTTTCCACTATATTACTTATGTCATGATTGGATCCTCTGTATGTTGAATGTTTGTGTAATTCTATGACATGATTTTATGCTTAGTTAGACTACTAAGGTCTTACTTGTTTGCTTGTATAGATGTTTCGTTGGCTAATGCCGAGACCGGTGTTGCGACATTGTGAGCCAAATAGGTCGTTGAGATGATGAAATAATTGGTGTTGCGACACCGTGAGCCAGACATACAATTAGGTTGATAGTGAGACCGGTGTTGCGCTACCATTAACTAAATAAGTTGATATTAATATGTAGTAGTTATTGTGATGTATGTGATATGTTGGGAGCTCACCAAACTTTGTGTTTACAGTTGTGGATTAAATATTTTTCAGGTTGTGCTTTAATAGTGAGAAGGCTCCAGCTCGACTGTGACACATGCACATGTCCTATGTTTATATTTTTAGACTTTCGCTACTTCTTATGTTTTTGGATACTATGATTTCTACGTGTTAAGCTTTTGGGGAGTGGAACTATTAATTTTTCATCCTTATGGAAAAAGAATGTTTTATTTACACTTTGAAAAAGAAATAATAATAATAATAATAATAATAATAATAATAATAATAATAATAACTTGGTTTGAAATTTGAGACGTTACAAATATACAATCATGGTTATGAATCCTTAGATCTAGTTACAAAGTAATATGATCTAGTCATCATTCATATCCGACCGCCATCCAAATTGAACATATGGGGGTTGATTTTTGTATGCAATATCCTCCATTGGTGTCATGAAGGTTTCAAAACCAATGAAAAACAAGTGAGAACAGTGGGGGAACAAGGGTGTAGTGAAACAAGAATGAATATCTAGATAATGATGATGGTAGATGTTTATGCTAAAAACGATGAACAAAATACCTTCGGTTTTAGAGATAAAGATGTTATAAGTTTCATCGTATTAAAAAACAAGTTGTGGTATCTTGTTTGCTATGGAAGGGATTAGGTTTGTAGAAATCATTTACATGAGGGTTAGGTTGATGAAACCAGCAACATAAGAAGAAAAATATGAACACAAATAATTATTTATTTTTATTTACAACGGAAAAATATGCAAAAGACTTGACAGTTCTCATCAAACCTTTTTATCACTTTTCCGATGAACATATAAACAATAAAAGAAATTAAGAAACGCTATAAAGTTAACGGGTAAGGTAGTGAAGAAGATCGGTGAAATGAGGGTTGGTTAACGATGTTAATTAAAATTTCGAAATTTTTTTGAAGAGATTCAATCGAATGGTCCCATCCCTTTTCTCTTATGTTCTCTCTATTGGGAGTGTTACGGATGTGCTAGGCATACAACTCCCCATGTAGGATGGTCACAACTCGATGGTAATGTTATGGGCAAACCATGTCTTATATACCACACCCGAGGGATGACATGGAGGTTCGGTGTTTCTCAGGTATGCGTGTGCTCTGGCACCGAGCTTGAGCTACTGACTTTTTCTTTGTTATCTCCCTCTCTTATTTTTCTTTTTGCGTAGGGGGTGCTGGTCTCAAACCTATGGATTGGTGTGAGATAGTGAGATGAAGGTCCGGTGGTCCTATGGCCTTGGATAGTAACCTTATAGCCTTATAGGCTTATAAAGCTGAAGAACCACCTATACAACTTTTAACTATAATAAGGTTTTCAACACTAAAAACAAATACCAGTAAAAAATTAGATCCACAAACACACACCTAATCACTAGTGCTAAATTAAACTTTAAATGAATTCTCTTTATTTATTGTATAATATTTTTTTTCACTTGCAATTGCACCGCCAACACTACTACAGTACAGAGCCTACATTACACCATATACTTTTCTCCTCCACTTTGCAGACACAACAGAGTAATGGGCTTCAAATCCCCATGGCACCCAACTCCATTGATGATCTTCCTTGTATCCACAACCACAACCCCCCTCCATAACCACCCTCATCGCCGCTTCCGCCTCCGCCGAGATCACTACCATCACCACCCAGCTCAACGCTCAAACCAAGCATGACGATCATTGTCGGAGTTGTCACCACCATATTCTCCATCACTTTTCTTATCCTCCTATACGCCAAACACTGCCGCCGGTCGAATAACGAGTACCTGCCTAGAGGAGACGTCACAGCGGGCCGCTCCACCGACAGGGAAAACTCCGGGATCGACCGGACTATTATCGAGTCGCTTCCGGTTTTCCGATTTGGGTCTTTAAGTGGGCAAAAAGACGGTCTGGAGTGCGCTGTTTGTTTGTCCCGGTTTGACCCAAGCGAGGTGCTCCGTTTGCTGCCGAAATGCAAGCATGCTTTTCATGTCGAGTGTGTAGATACCTGGCTCGATGCACATTCCACCTGCCCTCTCTGCAGGTACCGGGTCGACCCGGAAGACATTTTCTTAATTCTCGGCGAAAACGATATTGAAAGGTCGCCGGAGGAGGTTAAAGCAGCTGAAGAAGAGAGAGAAATAGCTGTGAGGCGTGTTTCAGGTAGGCATTCATCGGCGGGAGAAAAAGGAACCGGATTACAAATCTCTGTAGAGCCATCATCGCCGTTACCGGCAGCGGTGGCGATGGCGATGGCGGGGAGTAGGAGATCTTTAGACAGTTGGAGCAGCAAGAAATGTAAAAAGTCGACAAAGAAGACGAAGAAAAAGGAAGATACGGCGCCGTTGAAAGCGGTGTCGGAGGTTTGCCTAGACGGACAACACCGGAAAGACGGGAATTTGTTGGCGGCGGTGGAGGAGGAAAGGCGGAGGAAGAGGAGGAGCTTCGAGAAACGATTTGAACACCGGATCGTTGTGGGGACAACTACTGGGCCCCACAGGTGGAGCGACGTACAGCCGTCGGATCTGTTGTATTTACGATCAGAAATGATACTAAGTGACGTCCGTAGATTGAAAAGATCGAGACCGTCAGTTTTGCATGAGGGGAATAATGTTTGGTGGCAGAGTGGCAGAGGTGTAATAAATTCGAGAAGTGTGTCGGAAATGACAGGTTTGAGTAGGTTTGGGAGTAATGAGGAGGCTGGGGTATTGTCGAGGTGGTTGGCTCGGTTATCCGAACCAAAATCCGGACGTAACTCCTCGTCGTCGAATGTATAGCACAATATTACTACAAATTTATTATTATTTCTTTTCTATATATCAGATTTATTATTATAACTTTAGATTATGTACTACACTACTAGTATATCAAAACGTTAACCAACATTTATGGTTATTTAAAAAGTTCAGAAATTTTGTTTGATTATTCCACAAAAATTTGAAAAGAGTGCAAGGGCTCTTTGGTATCGTTTTAGTTTTTTCAATTAAGAAATAGACTTTTAATTTTTCAGATTGAGAGATTTGATAATCTTTTAATTGTTCAGCAGTCTATTAAATTTTTTAAAAAAATGAGTTTTATTTAAATAGAAAAGTAGGAGCATGATCTGAAAATATCATCATTTTCCAGCCAATATTTTTTCCTCTTTTTTTTATTTATTTTATTTCACACGTTTTTTTTCCTTCCATTGTTCTCTCTTGCCTTTTAAAAATTAAAAACCTTGTAAAAATTTAGACATATTAAAAATACAGATCTTAAAATTTTATATTATAGATTTTGTACATACTACATTAAAAAGGTTAGGTTTCAATGTCTAGAACTTAAAAAATATGGATAAATGGTTGACCTAAAAAGAAATATTTTAGTAAAATATGAACAGTTCTACCTGACTTAAAACAATAGTGGTCGAAAAGTAGGGTAAACATAGGGTATCTTGGGGGCCCTTGGATAAAATTTGGTTGTCTTCTAACTAAAAAAGAGTTTGACTGATGCAACACCCCAAAAGTTCAAGACAACAATATAAAAATTAGTTAATTGAAAAGAAATTTATTTGTACATATACCAAATGTAGATTGTAGATACTATGTTATAATTAATTACTTGTTAGACTAAAGTGATTGGGGCATTGATTTATGCAAGCAAGAATCTTCGGTTATGTCTTTTTAGTTATATTAAACAAAGGTTTTTATGTTTGATAAGTTGTCCCATTTGCCTTTCAAACAATATGACAAATCCATCTGTTACAACTTTTACAAGACGTATGGATAATATAGTGATTTGATGATAATTGAGGATACCAAATTTAGGAGTATCCTATATATGAAGTTTTTGATTTTTTTTATTCTCATTTTTTAAAAAGAAAGGAGACTAAAACGTACATATAGAAGCAAATGAGATAGTGTTTAGCCAATATGGGTCAACAACATGCCTCTTTGTGTAGAGACTCGGTGCAATTAGACTAATAGTGTGTTGAATCCAGGAGATGCATAGACCTTAGCTGTTGTAACATGCTATATTTGTAGAATCATTGATTTTATGTTCCCACAAAAGATCCTTAAAGAGAGATGTAAGACTCTTTAGGCTAGACCATGTGGACTCGGCTTCTATCGGCAATGGGTTGACGAGCTCGGCAAACACAGTGCCGAACCCTCGGCTCGGCAATTCGGCTACTAGTCACCGAGGAGAGAGACATTGAAGATGTATTGGGATACGGAAATGGATGGTCAACTGTGATTGTTTTTTCAAAAAAAAAAAAAAATCAAAAAATCTTTTTTTTTTTTTAACCTTAAATGCATACCAATCTTTCAAATATTTTACCGCATTTCACAACTTTCAAATTATCATTTAAACCATTCAGTTTTTTTTTTAAAAAAAAAATAGCTTCCTTCTCCAACCCAAAAGTTCAGAAAAAAAAAAAAAAAGCCCCAAATGAAACACTCAAAACCTAAACATCTCATCTTCTTCACCAACATTAATCCCAAACCAACGCGACCGACCTATTTATTTTCCACTGAATCTTCATTTTGGTGATGTTTACTACCAATTTCAAGCCGAAAATCAACCTCAATACTAAAATCAAGCACAATATCAAAATCAACCTCAATTTCCAAACCAACCACAATTTCAAAGACAACCCCAGTTTTAAAATCAACCATAAATGAACTTCTCATCCCAAATGATGCATGAGTTCAATCCATTTGGTGATCTTCCCGAGTCCCCAATGAACCGCTAAACTATTGAAGCGGAACCCGAAGTCATCCTAGTAACAAAATCTGAGTTCGGAGAGAATCAATCACAACAAAAAAGTGGAAGGGTGCCTCCAAAGCAATGGACATCCGTCGAAGAGAAGATGGTAGCGTGTGCATTAGTGGATGTTTCTGAAGATCATGTGGTTGGAAACAACCAGGATTGTTCAACTTTCTTCTGGAAAATCATGCGTCGGTTTCTGAACGAGATGAATCTTGGCGATTACCGAAAAAAGACCAAGTTTATTCTAAGTGGCAAAATGTTAACAAAGTCGTGACGGAGTTCAATGGGTTGTTTTCGAGTGTTAAACGACAATGACAAAGTGGTGCAAACGACGAAACCGTTTTGCAAAAATCTCTTGAAATGTATCAGGAACAAAAAGGGGCGTCATTTAAATTTTTACATGTTCGGAACATTGTGAAATTGTCAAAAAAAAAAAAAGCAGGATGTGATATCTTTTCAAACCTTTACGGGTGGTTCGTCTAAAAGAACCAAAATTTTTGAAACGACATATAGTCAATTGTTCGATGCGCATATCAGGATTGATCTCATTGAAGATGAGTCTTTTGAGGTTCCAATAACCAGTCGTCCCATGAGAAGAGACAAGGCCAAACGAAAGGGAAAAATGGCGGCAACTACTTCCGAAGACGCGGATAAACTATCAACAAAAATGAACGTTTTGAAGTTTTCCTTGGAGCGCTAATTGAACTTTGCACAAGAGAAAGAAAAAACTCGTGTTATGTCCATTTTAACGAGACCCACAACCAAGTTATCCGGATGCGAACAAATGACTTTAAAAACCAAAGAGGAGCTTGCAAAAAAATAACATCTAGTTTGTGTTTTTTAAATTTATTGTGTGTGTGTTTTTATTTTATTCATTTATTTATTATTTTTTTTTTTTACATTTCTAAGTTTTTTTAAAATTTCAGGTTTGTAATTTGAATTCTATGTTTTTTTTTTGGTGCGTTGTAATTTTTTTTTAAGTTTAATGATTTTTTTTAAAAAAAAAATATTATGTTTAAATTATTTATTTTGTATATTAAAAACATAACATAGGAAGTGTGACACATCACGCCTACCAAATGATAAGTTTTACCAATAATGTGACAAGTATGATGTGATGTCTATGTAGACCGTGACAAATATAACACCACATCGACTAATATTAAGAAATAAATAAAGAGCCATGTTAAATTGATGTGGGTGGACACCAACAAGCAACCCTCTCCCTGAGATGAAGCCTCAAAGAGATTAGGTTACAATTTTGTTAAGCCTTTGATGATGCTTGATTACCACTTTGATACCATGTGATATATATATATATATATATATATATATATATATATATATATATATATATATATATATATATATATATATATATATATATATATATATATATATATATATATATATAGGTTCAGGTTCATTTGAGATCATGTTAATTTTGTGAAACTGTGAGATCAAATCTAAAAATAATTTTAAAATACAAAATAAAATTAAAAATCCAAAAATTCTTTTTTTAATTATTATTTTCGGAACTTTATTTACCTAAAAAAAAATTACCGTTTTTTTTTTTGGAAAATACGTGAAATATTCTAATAGAATATTACACTGTACATTTATAATATGATTTTTAGAATGTTTAGAATATTCTACTATATTTGCCAGATATGTAGAATATTCTAAATATTCTACTAAAATATGTATTTTTTGTATTTATTTTTTTTATTTTTTGGTATTTTATTTTATTTTATTTTTTTGAAAATATATATTTCGAAAATAATATTGGAAAAAAAATTTCGAAAATTTTCAATTATTTTGCATTTTAAAAATATTTTTGTTTTATCTACTAAATGAGTGGCTAGCATTGCATCTCACGGTCTCACAAAATTAGACCATCTCATATGAACCTAACCATATATATATATATATATATATATATATATATATATATATATATATATATATATATATATATATATATATATCACATTCTACCGATACGAGTCCTTTAGGACTAAAGTAGTATGCGTTGGGCACAATGAAGCTTGTATGCATGTGAGTCGAATGTCGAAAAAGGATATCCATAAGTGAAATTGATGGAATGTTAAGTCCACCAAGTAAATTATACCATTTTACTTGCAAATAAACGTAATATAGTAATAAACAAGGGATGGATCCACTGGAAAATTGTTGTATTTAATCACCAATGCAATCCAATTGAACAAGGAAATAAAACTAACTACAATTAAACTAAAGGGGGAGGGGGGAGGGGGGATTGTGGATTGTTTGAAAACTAAAAGACTTGAAAAGATGCTCTAATGATGGAAAAATCGATGTGTATGCTGCAAGACCTAACCCTCATGGTAAATGATGAACCAAATGACCAAAATGCCCCCAAAATGAAAGTCACATGGGTACTCGCACATGGTTTCACGAGTGGATACCTCATCTCTTAACACCTCACATGATTCAAAACGAACCGATCATCTTCAAGCTTCAATATAGATAGTCCAAACCCATCTTCAAGAGTCCATGAACCATCTTCAAGAACCCATCTCATCCAAGTCTTCAACAAATCAAGCCTAATTCTTCCAAAATGGATCCGAAAAGCCCAATAACTCCTTGCAAGCCTACCAATCCCAACAACAAGCTAATTCGCAACTGCAACCGCAACGAGACTCCAAAAACCTACAAAACACCTTATGCAAAAGAGAAAGTACCCGATATGATCCAAGATAATAAAGAAATAGAATATGCAATGCAAAAACAATAAAAAAAATGTTAAAAATGTTTAAATAAACTATATAAAAGAAGTAAATAAAACAAACTATCAAATCACCCCAAGTTTAAACCTTACTTATCCTCAAGTAAGAACAAGACTAAAATGAACTTGGGATGAAGTAATGGAAAAAGAAAGGTACCATAAAACTTGGTCAAATTCAGTCAACATGATTCGAGTCAGTATTATATGTACCCTACATGTCTTCTAAATATTCCCCACTTTAGAACTATAAACCAAATTCTCGAA